GTCCTAGTAGTGACACAAGCCTCTGTCCCACCCTGTCAGTCCCCTGCTCTGAGCAGGTTGGGTACCAGAGCATGTGGCAGGGGCTTGAAATGAGCTTGGAAGGCTGAGCAGGCATTAGCAGCACTGGGCAGAGGGTGGAGGCAGCCAGGGGGGCACGGACAGACAGAGGGACCAGAAAGGTCGTGTGGCTAGAGCTGTGGGAGCCTTGTGCCTCCACCATCAAGTCATCAGTGATGAGACCAGCAGGAAACCCAGGAGTGTTGTCAGGTTAGATGAAGCAACATCCGAAAATGCCTAGCACGGTGCCTCGCCTGGTGCAGGCAGAGCCCGGCACGTTTGTCTGCATCTCACAGCTACAGGCAGGGGTTCCCAGATGGCACACCATCTGCTGACACTTGCAAGAAGAGTGGAGACGTGCCCAGATGTGACAGAGCGGCTGGAGTACTGGGGAGGAGGAGGGCTTTGCGTATCCCGCTCTCTTTGGGAACACGCTGCCTTACAACAGCAGGAGCGCCCCCTCCTGGGCACAGAGGACATTTCAACAGGAAAGAGCCCAGAATGGTGACCTCAGGGATGCCTTCTTTTCCCAGTGCAGAAAGCAGAGCTGCTCTCCACATCCACATCAAACACTCTGTTCCCCAGCAATCGCACCCATCTCAGAGCCACCAGACTCCCCCTCCCAACTGCGGATGCCGGAGCCCCACCGGCCCGCTGAGGAGTGACCAGTTTACACTGCCAGGATGGTAGCAGTTGTCCAGGCCCTGGGACAAACTACTTGCCCAGGGTCTACCCAGGAACCCAAATTCCCCAGTAATCCCTGAGGTTTTACTTTGATTTTTCTGAGGAAGTGGCCTCTGGTGCCTTGGGATCAAAGACCACGCGGTGGCTGTGTTCACGCCTCCAGCCCCTCCCCCACTCTGCCCGATTCCTGGGATGCCAGCGGCTGCTTGCCTACAGCTGGCCCAGCGCACTCTGGGCATCAGCATGCACTGCAGAGCCCCAAGGGGCTCGTGCAGTTTACTCATTGTGTGTTTTTTTAACCAGCTTTTTTGGGATTAAAAAAAAGATCAATTGTTTTAAAGTACAATTCAACAGCTTTTGGTATAGTCACAGAGTTGTGCAACTGTCATCATAATCTACTTTTAGAACATTTTCATCATCCCCCAAAAACAAAGTTTTCTGCCATTAGCCATCATTCCCCCAGCCCCAGCCCTAGGCAACCACACTAAGCTACTTCCTGTCCATATAAATTAGCCTTTTCTGGACATTTCATATAAGGAAAATCATCCTTTTTTTGTTAAATTCACTCCTAAGTATTACATTCTTTTTTATGTCTTGTAAATGGAATTGCTCTCTCAGTTTCATTTGGATTGTTCATTGCTGATGCGTAGAGATGGAGCTGATTTTTATATATTGTCTCATATTCCCTAGTCTTGCTGAACTTGCTTATTAGTTCAATAGGTGGGGTTATTTATTTATTTATTTATTTTAGTGTATTCCTTAGGATTTTCTGCGTGCAAATCATCGCATGTGGTATTTTCACTTCTTTTCTCATCTGAGTGCCTTTTATTCTTCTTGACCAATTGCTCTGGCTAGAGCTTCCAGTGCAATGCTGGGCAGACATGCTGTGAGCTGATGCCCTGTTTTGCTCCTGGTCTTCGGGAGAGAGCACTGTCTTTTCCTCAGCAAGTATGACGTGAGCTGGGAATCCTAACCCCTACCAGGGCTCAGGGGCTTCCATGACAAAAGGTGGGGAGGCACCAGTGTGCTGGGTGGCAGGACGTGAGTCTAGGGGCCAGCAGGGGCCACACCTGGCAGGGCCCTCTTTGGTCCATTTCCCAATGTTGTAGGCGACAGGAATGGCACCAGTTGTCTAACCAGTAGGGTCAGACCAAACCTGGGTTTAGCAACCTCAGTAGTTGGGTTCTGGCTAGGAAAGAATTCAGAGTCCAGACCCATACTGTAAGAGAACATGTATTGGGTAAATCACAGAGGTAGAAAATGCAATTCCTAGAAGAATTGGGCTTAGGAAACAAGTTATAGTGGTAAAGGCAGGGCCCTTGGAGCTTGGGTGTGAGGAAGCTAATGGTAATGTGCCTGGGGCAGGGAGGAGGGAGGAGAGAGGGAAGGCACAGGCATGCTCCCTGGAGGGAGAGTGCACTGAGTCCTCCCTCCTAAGGGTTTTAAGGGCCTCAGTTTTAGGGGAGATCCCAGGGGAAGACCTCAATAGAGTACTCATAGCTTTCCAGGTGTCCATTCAAGGTTGTTGTCTCCACTGATTGGCTGGCACTAGGGCAGGGGTCATTATTCAATGCAGCTGGTCCTGACAGCAGCCTTATCTGGTTTTATTGCTTCTCTGGGCCTGGAGCTGAAATACAACTGAGGCCTAGATGTTATCTCTTGGGCAGAAAGGTCAAGGGGTCCAAACCTCCTGACCCTGGGGGCGAGGTCCCACCTACAATTGTCCTTTGCTGGGCACCTGGGGCTTTCCACCCTGGTGACCTTCTGTACCTGGCCCATCTGTACCTGTACCCGTGCTCTACTCACGTCTGCCTGCCTACCACATCCAGAGCAGAGAAGCTGTGAGGAGGATTTTTAGTAGGGGGTGAGGTGAACTAATAAACGCTGAGCTGGGGCGATATTGAAGGGGGGGGGGGGCGGCTCAGGAAGGAAGCAGCTGGCAGGGAAGAAATGGAGGAGTAGGAACTGATGGCTTAGTCAAAGCTGGAGGCGGATGGTTAGAGGAGCCAGGGAGGGGTGACTGCCGGGATGGCTGCAGGGAGGATGGTCATCCAGCTTCACTGAGGCCCCCTGTCCGGGGACCACACCTAAGTCCCAATACTCTTGGCTCCAAATGCCTCCTCAACCTGCCCTGATGGTAGGTTTCCCTCATCTAGGGGCCTCTGGGGAGTGTGTGTGTGTGTGTGTGTGTGTGTGTCCCTCCTCCCCCCCCCCGCCCCCGAATGA